AAAACAGGGTAGAGGTGTCATGATACGTTAGTATCCTTGCAACGCAAAGTAACAGATTCACCATCTTTTGCTTTCCCACTAATCTGGTTGGCTATCAGGAGCTAAGAATACCTAGTATAGTCACCAGGCCCTAGCTCCATCACAAGGGCATTGGGAAAGGAGATTCCTAAAGCTGGCCATACACCTATAGATTTTCTGCAGATTTTCTACGGTCAGATATAACATACACGTGCACCATATTGTGGTGTATGCCAGGCACATGCGCTGAAGTGTGTTGTTAAAACGCATCGCAGTGCATGCTTTTTTTCTTTTGTAAAAAAACATGAATTTAACTGTGGCAGCGCATGGCAAAGCTTTGTGACGCATTGGCGTGCGTTGTGATACCTTGTGTTGCAATTAAATATACGCCTGTATCATTTTATCACAACACAAACACCAACACAGCGCAAAAACCATTTATAACCTAAATCGCTTATTTACAGTTTAGCGTTCCTAATCCCCCTTTCCTCAGCCTCTCATTGGTGTGGCAGTATTAAAGTAAAGTGTTAGGCCTCATTCAGGTGCCATTCACACCAGGCAGAAGCGTTTCACCGTGTTTTCCGCACGATTTTTGAAAGATCATTTTTGACTGTTTTTAGTTGCGTTTAAGCACAAAAACGCAATTTAAAATGCTCATAAAAAACATGCTGATTAGCGCATTTCTATTAAAATGGGGGCAGGGTTTCGTTGGGGGGGCCATTACAAAATGTTGCTATGGGGCCCTGGGATTTCTAGTTACGTCCCTGCCCACCGGTCCAAGCTTCAGTATCTTGCTAGTTGGCCCGCTGGCTTTCAAAACACCTGAACAATGCCTGCATCCAATCACATTGTTCAGATGTTTTGACAGCCAGCGGGGCCGACTAGCAAGATACTGAAGCTTGGCCCAGTGGGAGATTCCTCCATCCACACAGGTTAGCGTAGATGGAGGAATATGTTGCACTTTTTCCATCTGACCATAGAAAATCTGCAGATAATCTATAGGTGTATGGCCAGTTTAAGGCAAAGAACAGCCAATTAGAATGTATCCCTCACTGATCTGAACTATAGTAAACTGGTTGCTATACATGCAAGTTTATATCAAGCCATTCAATTCAGTATTTCTTTATAAACCTCACAGACTAATATTTCTATCATGTTGTTAGAAGGAAATCGGATTATCCAGCGAAATCCCAAACAAACGCCATGCAAATTGTGCCTTGTGGATTGCATGCAAAACATTCGCTGGCCATTTGAACTTTGTTTATAACTAAAACTTTCTCCTGTACCCCGCAGTGCACCCCATGCCCTCTCCTGTACCCCACAGTGCACCCCATAAAGTACTCCATGCCCTCTGCTGTTCCCCAAAGTGCACCCCATGCCCAATGTAGTGTCAGTGATGAAGTGTCAGCGATGTAGGGTTATTGATGTAATGTAATGTTAGTGATGAAGCGTCAGTGATGGAGTGTCAATCATGCAGTGTCAGTGATAGACTCTCTGCCCTTAGCCATAAAAAGTCCCACCAGAAGCTCATGACGCTGTAAATATAAACACAGACACGTGTTATGTCCAGAGATCATGTGTGGCCAAGACACACTTAACACCTGTTGTGTTCAGCGTTATCCAATAAAAACAAACCGCCACTACAGGATGTAGCCAATCAAAGAAAGGCCGCCTCTCCGTGCAGCCAATGAGTGAGCAACTTTTGGTTTAAGTGCTGCCGGGTTCTCAGCTGTTTCTGTTCCGTGCTTCGGAGAGTTGTGTGTAGCGGAGGTAAGTAATCAGTGGCCGGGTACGCCTCATGGGTCCTCAGGTATTATCCCCGGAGCGTTCGATGAGTCGCCCCCCACGCCGGATAACGCTTCACCAAGGCCAGATCGCCACCCTACTATGCACTCAATGTGACCATTGCTGTGTCTGATATGTACGGTGTTTTTTTTTTTTAAACCCGTCAGTTTGACTGGTAAAGCAGTTAGTGGCTGGTGTTTGTCTTGTGTGTCCATTGTGTACTTATTCACTCTGCTGTCCTGTAGAACGGTTTCTCAGCCCTTTTCACTCATCGCACATTGGCACCCTTATAAAGTATGCAAAATTATCCTAAATAGGGGTAATATGCAAAAAATAAAAAACCTCATTACAGCAGTTGTGCTGACCTAGCATTCGCAGCGATGTGGATGCAGAGCGCTGTGTGTGATGCATTGCAGAAGGTGGGGACAGAGCACCAGTGGCCATTTTAACTGTGGGCACAACTGCTGGAGAAGATCAATTCAGTGTGGTTACCTTCCAATTTATTGTCTTGGTGGATGAGCACACTAAATAGTCATTGATAAATGGTATTTTAGTCAAAAATATCCTTTGCTGTTTTGCTTAGCACTGTGCAACCGAAGAGTTCGGTGAACTGAAGCACTCCAGAAAAGCTACTCAGTGCTTGGCTAAGGAACTAAACACTCCTCTGTCCTCTTCTAAATGGATCTTACCTCTCCTCCTGTATTCATCTCCAGCATTTCTAAGGTGCTGCCCTGTGGCCCGCCTGCCCCATGGAAACAGGGATTTGCCAAAACTGGCGCATTTGCGCATGGCAACCAATCAGCTTCTAGCATTCATTTTCAAAGCTTAACTGAAGAGAAGCTGGTTGTTGGGGGCAACAGCTCCAGATTCAGTCTGTTCCGGTTTTGACAAATTCCAAGTGTTATGTGGAGCCTTTAGCTTTGATAAGGGTTTTTTTTTTCCCCCACTTGACTTTTCTCAAAGGAGTTGGATGAAGATAAGTCAGGTATTCCAAAAGCTGTGTGCACTTGGATCAGAATACAACAGCCAGTACTGGACATTTTCCCCCATACCCAATAAACAGCGGCTGAATGGGGGAAAATGTGCATGGCTAGCTTATAGTGACACAAGGTGAGTGAAATTATTCAGCCTCATAGTTCCAGCCGATGTGTAACAATGAAAATGTCATGCCAGCTCAATAGATTGGGAAGTGAGCGAACGCATACCACCACTCACTTCTTGATCAACTCCTTGCAGAGTGGTGACTGTCAGTCACCGTTCCTTGCAGGGACTTCCCTGGCTCCGATCTTCCAGCGCTGACTGTGGGAGGGGTGGGCACAGCTGGCTCTGCCTCTAGATAGGCAGAGCCTGCTGTCACTCATGCAGCTGGGTGGATTTCGACAGCATTGTTGGGATCCGTCCTGGCTGCGGCAGTCTCAGTATACTGCAACCTGTAGTTTGTGATATACTAACCTCTTCCCATGACCCAAAGCTCAGTGTATGTCCTCCTGAGACCCTTAAGAGAACTATAGGGAAAAACACTTGCCCCGTAGTTCTCTCAAACCTTAAAAAATGCATTCAAGTACCTGACTATTAACAAATGTATCACTCAGCTGTAGACTGTTTTTGGATCATCTCATTCTTATGTTGACGCTGTGTAACAAATGTCACATGTGGGGTTTTTTTTTTTTTTTTAGTTTTGAATAAAGTGAAGATGGCAACTTTGATTTTTGTTGACCAAGAGAATGGAGATGTTGCTTCTACTAACCTGTCCAAGGATCGCTTGACACAAACAAGTTCTGGTGAGTATTCTGGTGGCCTTTTCTCAGTTGGTAGCCCACCAGATGGGATTTCTGCAAGGTTTGTGGCCAGTGTAGCTACTACAGTTTAATATTGCCTGAAGACTAACTTTTGCCCTTGCTAACAATTTTCTCTGTATAATATAACATTCTTGGTTGTCCATGGAGTCCAGCATGGTCTTGTCTGCTTGGCTTCTGTGCCACCATCTTGATCCTATTGGTTCAGGAGAATGCTTCTTCCTGAGTCTTCTAGGCATGTGTGATGCAGGATCCCATGCATGTGCAGGTTATCGCCAGATATATTTAACTGGCAGAAACCAGTGGCATGTCTCATTGCCACTAATCTTCTGAGGCCTTGTTCACACCAAGCGCGTTCCAGGAGCAGAGCAGTTACAGACCGGGTCAAAACTGCGTCCATTGTATTCCAATGGTATTTTGGGCTCTAGTCAACACTGCAGCGTTCAGTTCCAGAGCATGTTAAAAAAAACTGCAGCAAGCCCTATTTTACCTGCTCTGGAACGCATGCAAACTCATCAAAAATGCCCTGGAACGAACTGAAAGCTCAGTCTGCTGTGAATAAGCTCTGGCTTGTGCTAACCAGGGTAAAAATAACTTTCATTCCCCCCACCCCAGTTGGCTAATTGGCTTTGCTAATTGCCTGCTAAGACCGAAGCACTTGCATTGCAGTGGTCCCATGCTTCCCTCCCATACCTAGATACCTCACTGCATTGCGGCAGCATGGATTGATGCTATAACTTGCTGGAGGGTGGGCTATGCGAGGGGGAATGGTCTTTCCCTAAATGGACCAGGTAACACTATCTCAAAGCTCAATTGAAACTCTGGTTTTGTGCCCCCACTTTCCCTCAATCAGCTGTGACTGACTCACAACAATGAGTGGAGGCACGACATCAGAACTGGTGTTAATCAAAGGCACCATTTTGATGCTGCAGAAGTGCAGCTCCCTACTGTAAATATTAGAATCTCTCAGCAGAGCTTAGAGCTCCTGAAGTAGTAAAGAATTGCTTTGTGGTAAAGGTGTAAACTAAGTTCTTCAAGTGCAAAATTAACCTTTTTTTTTTTGGTGGGTTTTGTTTCCCTTTGTAAAGGTAAACCCCTCATCAGAAGTCATCCAGGGAAAGTGTTCGGCAGCTCTGAGACTGTGAAGCCAAGAAAAGCTCTGGGAATTGTCAACAAGCAAGTTGTTCAGACATCTGTTCCATTCCAGAAAGGTGCCCTTAAAGTGAAGTCATCTGCACCAGTTACTAAGCAGGTACTATTATCATGTGAATTTGAGTGACCGGTCTTTAGCACCAGCCAAAATGTTCAGTTAGTGTCTGTCCCCACTGGAGATTTATCATCTGCTGTCCAGAATAGAGGTCTAAGACTGCCCAAGCTTAACAGTAAATCCATAAATTTCAGATTTCTGAAGTCTGCATCAAGCCTAGCAAGCAAATCTACCCTGAGATTGAGAAGTGCCTTCCTTATGATCCAGCAGGCAAGTAGTTTTACCTTATTCAGGTTTACCCATTGATATTGGATTTACAGGTTATAAAACGGTAGCCCTGCATTCTTTACATCCTGTACACTGTGCTAGAATTCCTCAGAGTAAGTGGCAATTGGTTCCCCCTACAAGTTGACTGCAATGCTGAAGTACACCTGTGAAAGGTGTGATCAAAAAAAAACCATGTCAAGTTTAACAAATCAAAACACCCCTCCTTCCCAGATGTCTTAAGACCAGCTGTTTTTGAGGGAGAATTTTTGGGGAAATCATAGTAAGACGAGCACAAGTGGACTCCTCTGCAAATACGCATTCAGTTTGCCCTGCACATGCAATGTCAAGTCTTTAGAGGCCCTCTTGCACACCTGGCTCTGCAACATGTAACCCTCAGTGGCGCCTCTTCTGGTATTGAAAATTGGCTACCTCCATTGCAGTCCAGGTGCAGTGCAAACTGGTCTTGCCACATCTTGTGACATACTGCTGGGTGTCTTCAGGACAATGTGTGAACCTTGCAGATAGAGAGCCAATGGCAATGCAAAGCAGATGACCCTTCTCTGCCATTTGGAAGAGGAGAGACTCAAGATTCAGTGTGTCCTTTGACAACGAATTCAGGTAAGTGGGCATTTAATTAACATGTAACTGGATGATAGCTGGGGGGAGGGGTACCATGAGTCACCTGCAGTTTCTTTCTTGGTGTGTCTACCTGTTAAAGTGTGCAAACATTTTCATATCTTGAGGAAAGGTTGACACTGATGTAACTGGCTGAACTGATAATACTCTTGCCTGTGGAAAAGTTGGTGATTTAAAACTTGTGTAAATGCAGTATTAAATCTTTAGTAGTTCAGAACACAAGCTGCTTGATTGGCGTTGGTCATATGTGTTGGTCATATGTGTTGGTCATATGTGTTGGTCATATGTGTTGGTCATATGTGTTGGTCATATGTGTTGTCTATCAAGCCTTTCTCTCTCTTCCTAGATTTTGAAACGTTTGATGTCCCAGAAGAGCACAAACTAAGTCATCTCTACCTTGCTGGAGTTCCCCTTATAGTGCATGAGAAGGAAGCTGCGAAGTTTCATGCATTGTTGACCCGGGAGGTAGCTCCAATGGATATTCCAGTCTTTAGCTGGGAATCAGGTTGGTTTTTAACCACTTCATGGCTGCAAGAGCCAGTATCCCTCCTAGCTTGGGGTGGGGCTCTATGAACTAGGATATGCAGACTAAACATATAGTTCTTGGTGCGGGAATCCATTTTATTCAATAAAGCATGATTGCTTTTGCAGGAGTAGCTACCCTGTTTCCCCGAAAATAAGACCTACCCTGAAAGTAAGACCTAGCACTATTTTTCAAGATTCCTGTAATATAAGACCTACCCCGAAAATAAGACCTAGTTTGGTGGTAGCATGTGAGGGGGAACTTGCAGGAGAGATGGTATCAGCCTGCAGGCACATACTGTATTAAGAGGATGACAGGGGACTCCCTCCGGCTAGCGCAGTGACCGTCAGCACTCCAGTGCCATACATCACCAACTGCCCTGAAGGCACTGCTTAATGTAATGGTACCGTAATTTACAGCACTGTTCACTGTCTGATGTCCCCACTGCTGCACCGCTGGTACAACTGTCCTTGATGGCAAAAGAAGACGGCGCTGTCGAAAGCAAGGCTGCGGAGGGAGCAGAGCCGCATTAGCCGATACTTCCTCTATAGCTCCGGTTACTGTGACAGGCGGAGTGATACCAGATAACTTTGGATTGTTGTACATTTTGTTGCACATTAAAAAAAAAGACATCCCCTGAAAATAAGACCTAGTGTGTTTGGGGGCAAAAACAATATAAGACAGTCTTATTTTCGGGGAAATACGGTAGTAATGCAAATCAGCAACCCATATCTGACCAGCAGCATGGGGTAATACAGTGATTGCTCAATGGTTGCCCTGGGTAAAGGCTGGATAGGTCCCAATTCTGATGTAACAAGCTGTATCTTGCACATGCTGCCCAGCTTCCTTTTAATGGGTTTTGTATTGGTGAGTACTGGGGGGGGGGAGGGGGGTATCGGTATTGATGACCTGAAACCAGTATGTGCATCCTTTATTCAGGATTTATATTGTTCCAACAGTTTGCGCAGAACTTGACAATTTGCTACCAAATGCATTTTGGGGCATATACCTTGTGAAACCTATTTACTGGTGTATTTGACATTTGCTACCATGGACTTGGGATGTGCGTGCTTTGTATATGAGAACTTAAAGGAGAACTGAGTGAAAATCACTCATCCTCAAAGTTCAAGCCGACATGTGACAATGAAACTCGCACGTCAGATCAATAGATAGGGAAGGGAGCGAACACATACAGTCGCTCGCTTCTCGATCATCTCACGGCTCCCTGCAGGGATCAACCCCCGAGCTATTGCCCGCGATATATTGAGCTTTTGGTCACGGGATGACGCTAGTATATGTCCTCCCGTGACCCTAAAGAGAACTGGGGAAAAACACCCCGTCCTCTTTAATATAAAATCCAGATCGTGAGGCCTCCACCACCTGTTAGTATAAAATGCAGAACATGATAGGCTTTAAATTGTAACTAAATGCCTTAGGGGTGCATAGGTGAAACATCCTTTTTTTTGGTTTAAGTATATAGAGTACAGGTTTTGTAGTGGGACTACAAATCCCAGCAACACATTATACTGCAATGCAAATTGGTATACAGCAGAAAACATCCTTTCATGTATTTTTGTGCCATGAATTATGATGTAAAGTAACAATGTATTTACTTTTCCAGATATGTCATGTACACTTCCCTCTTTTATGACAACCATTGATGACCTCACACTTGACTTGCCCCAGATGGTGAACTGTTAGCATAAGTTTTTATTGTCCCTTTTTTGTATGGTTTTACTTTGTATTTATTTTAATAAAATTTGTTCTCCAATAACTGCTTACTGACCAAGTTATTGCCTTCCCCTTACAAAGACTTCCAATGTTCATAAAACATTTCTGTATGCATGTACTTTCCCATTGTGTCCTTGCTTTACCCAACACAAACAGATTGGTGTCTCTTCAAAGACCAAAAGTGGCCTTGGAGAACCATGGGCCAACTCTCCCTCTCCTCCAATAGTTCTCTTTAGGATCACATATACTATGTCCTCCTGTGACCCAAAACTCAGAAAAAACTGAGGGTGGGGGGGGTCGGGGGATGACCCATTAAGTCTGTGAGCGAGCCTGTGCAGTTGAGGGCTGATGTCCCAACAGTGGCTCTCACAGTTTTGTAAACTGCAGCTGCTTGCCCCTTTGTGTGATGCAAGGCAGATGCAGGGAATGTACTTCCCTGCTATGTGCAAGTTACACACGCTGGTTTTTTTAAATGTACCAGCTAAAATTCTCAGTGTGTGGGGCTGTCGGCTCCCTTTCAGCCAGCATGCCTCACATCAGCTGATCGAAGGAGCCTGAAAAATTTTTCAAGCGATCAGAGCCAGCAGCCAATGAGCTGCCCACTCATATTGTATACCAATTACAATGTAATTGATTTCATCAATCAGCATGCTGTTTGTTGATGGAAGTGTGTGTCCGCGTGTCCACGCATCTCAATCAGGCACAGCATCCTCTACCTCCTAGTAGTGATTCCAGGGATGCAAACTGACCAGGAATCTGCTTGGCATGTTCAGTTTGAAACAAGCTAAAAAGAACTGGCAGTATCGGTGTTAAAAGCAGGGAAAAAGACATGTGAATAGCCCAAAATATGCAATGAAGCTTTTGGGGTAACGAACCCTTTAAAACTGGACAGGTATCTCAGTTTGCCACTTTGGGTTACATGGGCAAGGTAACAGCATTGATTTTTAAAGGGGTCCGTTAAGATTGGGATTTGCGATGTAGCAAAATATTAGACTGCAAATCCTCAATGAAGGAATACCTTTCTCTTGTCTGAGCTCAGGCCTTATAACTGGCATTCCAAGGTACCTGATGCTCTGCTGCACCAATGGAAATTTTTCCAGATCCATGCTGCACCACTTCCTGGTAATCCTCAGACTTGGTGGGACTGCTAAATATAGGACATGTTTTTTTGGTTTTACGCAATGTTTCTGTATCTAGTATTTACCACCACTAGGGGACTTGCCTGTGCTTGGTACGATAAATGAGTTGAAGTTATGGCGTATGTGGAAAAATTGAAATTGAGTGATGTATACATAAAAGCTAGTAAATGTTCTTGGACTATGTATCCAATCATTTCAGTCAAACTTGTTGCTGTCTGTGCTCTGTTTAATACTAATTGCACTTTGAAAAGACCTATGGCGGTAATTATCGGCACGTAACTAGGCCTAACCCTACCAACACTGCTGCAAGCGTTAAAACGTGGGAAGCTATCAAGTTTCTGTAGCACTCTTCTACAGCATCAGCTGGTTTCTATAGCTGCCTGCACAAATGTCAGTCTTGGGACTAAACATGATATGTTCTTAGTACTATTTTTTTTTTTTTTTTTTTTTTTTTTTTTTTTTAATCCTGGAAATACAAATTCATACAGTGCTTTGGTTTACAAGTTTGGCTCCAGATGCTAATTTAGTAAGGGGGGAAAAAAAAATTAACTTATTACAAGACTGTGCACCTTGCTATCAATGCCCAATAACATCAAAACTAATAAGGGGGGGAGAGAAAACCCAGGTCCTGAATGATCAACCCTGGGGTTGGATGAGGCTCTAAGGCAGCCCCTATAGTTGAGCATCAATAACAAGACTATCCAGTTATTTTCAAGCTGTGGGTTTCATTGCAGATGCCTCAGTGGAATCGTTCGAGTTTTTGTGCAGGGGTTTGCTTCCAGCACTCCTGTGCTATGACAATTCCTTTTACTGTGCTTGGGCTCGGCAGACCAAGGTACTGCCATGGACATTGTTTCTAAATGTTGGTGTTTGGGAATTTTTTACTTTGTTCCCCACTTGTTTGTAGCTTGGGTTACGTGGTTCTGTAACCCTGTTGCCATTTCCGGTGGCTCTGCAGGAAGAGCCATTGCCAGACTCGGCATGGTTCTGATCTGGGTCCTGCCACCTGTCTGGTTTCCAGGCGATGTGTGGTCCTATGGAAGGAGGCTTTATTCCACTCAAGGCTTTACATAACCTCTGGGGTCCGGGATCTGGCATATAACTTTTTGAGGTTCTGAGAAACCCTTATGTTTGTATACCTTAGGAGTTGCAGGGCCTTGCTATATCTTTAGGTGTGACGTGCTACTGTAGTGTCGGGCTGTTCTTTTGCATGCAATTTATTATTGCTGTCCCCAGTTTGCCTCATTTTTATGGCCCCCCTTTTTGTTTCATTTTCTGCTATGTATGCTGGTATGATCCACTTTTTTTCGCCATCTTTTATAGTTGGTCGTACCCTACCTGTTTTCCTCATCAGACCTGTATGGCTTACTTTTAGCATGGGTTCTCACTGTGGTGGCAGGGTAACACTTGACTGGTTTTAGATGTTTGAGGTCCCAAGTCGGAGGCTGCACCTCTAGCAAGAGGTTTGATTTTAGCTTCTTCTTTTGAGTAGCTAATTAGGGACCTGAAGGAGAGTGTTGGCAGTGTAGTCTTTCCTTGTTCATACTGCATTTGGCCTTTTTCTGGTATTAGCTACTCAATTAGTTCCTGTCTTTTCATACTATGTAGGTTTCGGTGGTCATTACACTGTTGGGGTACAGTATTGGACTACAGAACTCTTTTGCACTCAGTACTTTGAGGGACAATGTTTTCTGGATTGTTTTGGACACCATCTTTATGGGTGTCTCAGGGGGCGAGTGTGTTCTTTGCCCTCCCATATAATGGTTAGTCCTTTTGAGGGGGTTTGTCTTTCCTCAGTGGCCTCAGCATCCTGCATCAGGTCCTCTTCTCTCGACTTCAGGATCAGTGTTAGCCCCAAAGGCTAAATACTTGGAGAAATCTCTTCTCCTAGGAAGGGGACTGTCTTCCAACTCTTGTGGTTCCTTTCATAGCTGGCTTCTGGCTGCCTATGTATAGGAGAGAGTTACATGGGCTACAGGCTTGCATTTTGCTTGCAGCTTCGGGTTGTGGCTTAAATGCTCCAGTCTCCATCCTGTGTGTCTACCAGCAGCCTGCACCTTTTAGGGGGTTCCGCCTCATCTTGGGTCTACAACTATTTAATACTTGTATTAGCTATAGTAGTCCTTCCAGTGGAATAGCTGGGTTTAATCCGCTGTCTTCTCCAAAATGAATGGGATTCTTGGCGATATCAGGGTCATACTTTTCACCGTCTGTGGACCTCTATGATGTGTTGGAAATCCTTAAGCAGTTTTTGGGCCTTCTACTGCCTGACTGGGTAGTTTTGTTGTTTTTCCCACCCCTCAGTTTTACTGCTTTGGGATGTCTAGTTGGTCAAGATCTAAAGGTCTTCCCTGTGCCCTTCAATTATTGAAAGAGAAAAAAGGATTTTTATACTCGCCATAAAATCCTTTCTCTGCATTCATTGAAGGACGGGTTACCCACCCCTCTGGTTGTTGTTGTGCCAGTTCTATATACTGCTTTGTGACTAACTGAGCTGGCTCTAGTTGTTGGGGGGGGCTTGGCCACATTCAGGGGCTACCTCTAGGCTGAACTTTTGTTTTGTGCCTAGTCTTCTACTCCTGAAGGTGGCACTATATAACCCAGTTGATCAAGATCTTCCATGTGTCCTTTAATGAACGCAGAGAAAAGGATTGTACGGTGAGTACGAACATCATCCTATTTTTCTAGTTCTAAATCTGACAAAAGGCAGTATTTTTGGTTCAGAGACTGCAGATTATATTTTGTAAAAAAAAAACCAGGTTGAACTGGATGGACCTTTTTGTCTTCAACCTCACCTACTATATGTATGGTATGGAGAAACCTGGTATCCCTGAAGGTCCACAGGACACATGATCACATAAGGCATGAAGGCCTGTAATTTGAACTCAATTTAGAAAGTTGTGCAAGTGTCCGCTGAGACCCATGTAGGTATTCAGTTTCATGAGTCTGCCAGATAATTTGGGGGCATCCAAAGTGTCTTCCCAGTCTTCTTCCAACACTCCAATGTTCATCTTCCATTAATACTTGGGTTGATAAGCAAGCATAGTAGCTTGAGCAAGAAGGATTTTTCTCTACACCGTCGAAGGTGCATTTTTGCGCCCCCCCCTGCCTGTAACAGTACGGGGAACCACAAAATATGTTGAGCAGAGCCATAAAGTAACATTAGCCGCACTCCCTATTCACTAACTAGCTGCACTCCCTATTCACTAACTAGCTGCACTCCCTATTCACTAACTAGCTGCACTCCCTATTCACTAACTAGCTGCACTCCCTATTCACTAACTAGCTGCACTCCCTATTCACTAACTAGCTGCACTCCCTATTCACTAACACTAGCTGGTTAAATGATCCATAGTACAACTACATGTTATGTACTATGGATCATGATTCAACCTATTCATGTTATCAGGGGAGAATTGTAAATCTATTGCTGCAGTGTAGTGGAGGTGTGTGCTGTATATATGTACCATATATACATTACACACGTCCAGTACACTATAGCAATAGATTTACAGCCTGCCCTGTCCCAGCTTCCCTCACTCAGTTTCACTCCGATCCGTGTTGCCTCACGCGGTGCCTCTTGTAGTCGGCGCTGGGCAAGATCGCTGTATCGCGTCTCTGTGCTCAGCTTGTGGGAGGCGCTCGCAATTCTGCCCTGCTAACATGAATAGGTTAAATCATGATCCATAGTACATATACACCACACACGTCCAGTACACTGCAGTAATAGTTACAATTATCCCCTGCTAACATGAATAGGTTAAATGATCCTTAGTACAACTACATATTTTGTACTATGGATCTTTTAACCATTTCATGTTAGCACGGGAG